GGGGGGGGGAGGAAGGAAAACAAAAAAAGAGAAAAAATAATGAATTGGATTGTTCTAGTTATAAGAGGCTGATAAGAACAATTTGCACCTCTATAAGTAGTCATTGTTTGGTTGGTTAAGCCATTAGGATGTGGAAGGAAGTGTGCGAGCCAGCGGATATCTTTATTCATTCCTCCCTGATAGGATAAAGTTAAAAAAACAGCAAATGATCTGGTAGCACCTTAAAGACTAACAAAACATGTAGATGGTATCATGAGCTTTCATGGGCTCAAACTTGTGAATGAAGTTAAGTTCCAATCCTTCCCTGTGTATTTGGCTTGTGGAATTGGCCTGAAAGAACAGGGTGACTTTGAGATCCATTAATGAGTGCCCGAGATTGATATAGTAGTTGCAGCTATTTGGCTATTCTCAAGACCATGACACCCTTATTACCAGAAAATCACCTCTACTTCTCTCCTTCTTTCAAGACGGCTAACAGGGGACAAATGCCAAGGGCCCAGGCAAATTAAAAGGGCGTGGAGGTCCTTGGGCTGCAACAGCAGTAGCTGAGATCTTCCTGCTGCTATGTAGCGGCATGGCGGCAGCTGGTGGGAGAGGGGGGGAATAGCTCTGGACCACCTGGTTGGGGGGACGGGGTCTCTGCCACCTTTAAATTGTGGCGATTTCTAACTGAACAGGCCAGCAGTAGTGGGGGGCACCCAGAGTTGCTGACGGGGCAGGATAGGTAACTGCCCTGGGTCCTTTAATTCACCACAGAGCCCTAGGCAGCCCAGGCCAGACAAGAATGAAGGGTTGGCTGAGAGAGGCTAGTCCCCAGCCCCACCACTTCCACCGAAGGCCCTGCCCCTTCGGAAGTCTGGAAACCACCCCCACCTTTCCCAGGGGCCTGGCAATTTTGTCAGCAGCCCTGCCTGCTTGTCTTGTCAAATGAATTCCCTGACTGAGCCTTTTGCAACTAACTTGAGGGAAGTTTGTGGTTTTTCATAGGAATGGAAGGCTAGGCTACACCTCAGTCTTTAATTCAATCTACTAACTCATGCAAAAAACTACACAGTGACTTATCTTCACTAGGACTTTTCCTCAAGCTAGATAACTTGTGATAAGAACATGCTGGGGTTATGGAAAGCCTCCAGGAAGAAGTGCAAGAGAAACACAGAACATCAACACAGAAAGAAGAAAAGTGTGCTCTTACTCAAATTAAATAGAGGTAAAATCGTGCTGGAGCCAAGGCCCATCTATATTTTTTATCACTGATCTCTCTTTTCTTTACTTTACTGCATATGTTGAAATAACTCCATTTTGTAACCACTTCATCTATTTTGAAATTACTCCTTTTTAACTTATAGATCCCAAAACGCTGGATTTATTTGGCGGGGCCATTGGATGATCCAGATCCTAAAGGATCACTCAAGGATGATAAGGATATTGTGGAGAAATTAAATGAAATCTTTGCATTCGTCTACACAGCTGAGTATGAGGGAGATTCTCACACTTTGGAAAAGAGGTGACTAAGGGAGGATATGATTGAGGTCTATAAAATCATGACTTGTAAAGAAAGTAAATAAGGAAGAGTTATTTACTCCTTCTCATAACACTAGAACTAGGTATGATCAAATTAAATTAATAGGCAGCTGGTTTAAAACAAACAAAAGAAAGTATTTCTTCACACAATGCATAGTCAACCTGCGGAACTCCTTGCCAGAGGATGTTGTGAAGTGCAAGGCTATAACAGGGTTCAAAAAAGAGCTATATAAATTAATGGAAGACAGGTCCATCAATGGTTATTAGCCAGGATGGGCAGGGATGGTGTCCTTAGTCTCTCTTGCCAAAAATTGGGAATGAGAGACAGGGGATAGATCACTTGATGATTCTGTTCTGTTTTTTCCCTCTTAAACACTTGACATTGGCCTTTGTCAAAAGACAGGATACTGAGCTACATGGACCTTTGGTTTGCTCCAGTATGGCTGTGCGTGTGCTCTTATGTACCAGGGATATAGTCCTCACCCTAAAGTATGAGTTCTTTTTACCCTCTCTCCTCTCAAAAGTTCAATTCCAATCAATTCCATAACGTATGTACATTTAGCGGGAAGGGGGAATTCTGAATTGAAATTTTATGCAAAGGAAGTTCTCTGTAGCAACACATTCCCCTGTTCACCACTAGACAGAAGTAAGAACATTCTTTTTCTCTGGCTCTTCTGTCCATCTGGAATACGAGGTAAATAGTGTATGCAGATAAACAGGTCAGTAGCCATTCTGTTCATCAACAATTGAGAGCAGAAAGGTTTTTAGTGTTAAAGCATTAGGCCACAGGGCTTATATTTGTATCAAACGTTGAACCCTCTCTGCATTTTAAGTACATTTTGTAAAAATATGTGGGAGGAGCTTTAAATATTGGGGATATCCAGGAAGCCTGCTGGAATATTCTCCTTCCACCCAACTCAAAGACTTAAAAGCCTTCTATTGAGTTTATCATTATGAGAGGAAAGGAAAGGATAATTTTCTTTCCCCTCCCATAGCTTACTAGGCCCAGTGAGCTTCTCTCCATTTTTAGGGGAAATGCTGGATTGCTAGACCATGTGATTCATTCCTAGAGGTTTTCCCTACCCTGCTGCTGTTCAGCCACCCTTATAAACACTGTTAAATGCAGATAGCCAAAAATTCAAAAACATTTTTCCTGATGATTTCTTCTAAGACTCTTTCATTCTTCTGGTTTTGAAAATGCAGTGACATTTTTATTTTTCAAAATTTGCTGTGGTACTTTTCGGACAGAAATACTTTGAGTTCCGAAAAAAAAAATCAAACTTTTCCAAAACAAACAAAAAAAGTTTAAATTTCCAAATGGAAGAATATTGAAAACAAAATTTTGACTAGGAAAATCCCACCATGTGATTAAGTCAACCTATCAAAAATGGACAGCATGAAAAAATACTCAAACCCAAGAAATCAAACTGCTGTTACAGTTCCTTTTGTAAAAAATGACTCACATTTACACAGCTATGTTTGTCTAAGAGATTGTATGGACTGTGAGCATATTGAAATATTTATCTTCCCTTAACTATTCATCTCCATAGATATTTTAAACTACGCAATTCCTTGACAGATACGCAGGTAGCAATCTGCACAGAGAAAGCCTTTTGTCTGTTAATTTGCATGGCTCGAAACATAGGAAGCCAGAGACCTCTCCCTTCCTTTAGATCCAGAGATCAGATCCCAATATGTCTCTCAGACAAAAAAGTCTTGTGCGCTTTTTTGTTATGTTTCACAGAATACAAACAGAGAAACCAAATAAAAACAAAAATATTCTTACAGGAAGGTTGTAACATCACACTGTATTATTTCTTCAAAGTTAGAATGATAAAAGAATACAGAAAAAGTGTAATAACGGGGTCTATCAGGCCTATCCGAATTGTGAGCACAACTGTTAGAAAATGAGTTTTAAAAGTTCAAAAAATGATACCCTCCCCTTTTACAAGTGTTGACAAGAAAAGCTACCAAAGGGAAACAGAGACTGGATTAGTCCAGACAAAAAGTTGCAATGATACAACCCAGAGCAGTGTTGAGATCATGTCTGGTAAAGAAGAGAATGAAAATTAATGGACCAAAATTGATGTGTGGGAAATTAGGGTTAACTGGCAGACAAATAACGAGGGTCTGAGCTATTCTACCCATTACCATAAAGGGTTCCTATAAAAGGCTCTCTTGAGGGGAATAAATCGGGGGTATTCTCCCTGGAGAAACCTTTGAGCATAGGCCAACAGGCCTCTACTTCGTTCCAGAGACTGTCCTTCGCTGTTGAACCTTGATTCTCATTGTGTTTAGACAAGCACACCAATGAGGATACCTGATCATCACTGCTGGACCAGTGAGGATCCCAGCCTAATACATACGAGCTCCTGCACTGTTTTCCCTTTCCTTTGCATCCACCACTATCTTCCTCTATCTGCTTACTTTACAGCAGAGCCAGAGATCAGCTATACCCCGTGGCACCAGCACAACATGATTAAATGACTTACTGAAGTTTGGCCAACCTGAAAGAGATAGAGAAAGAAGAGGGAGCCGGCTAGACCAGCCATATTACATCCCAAACCAGGGTAGTGAGTCCGGGTCCAGAGTAACAACTTTCATGGCCAACCTGAGAGCCCAAAGCATCCTGCTGCAACTGACCAGCCCCTTTGTATTGTGAGAATATCAACAAAAGCCTTATTTCTCCCACCTTTACTACTCTCTCATCCTCCCTTCTCTTTCTGATTTGCTAGAAGCAGAAAAAGCAATCACCATGCTCAAAGGTCAACTCAATGCAACAACAGAACTAATCCTTTCTTCTCCATCAAAATGGACTGTGACAAAATACAAGACTCCAAAGGACTTTGATAAATTGGGCTTAAGTTTGTTTTTCAAACCCAAAATATTGCAAGATGCTTTTGTTTGTTTTAGTGTTTGCACAATGGCCAAGGTCTCTGTAGTCATAATCCCAGATCATGTTGAATTATTTGGTGTTGTAGAGTAACAGGGTGAGGTTAACACCTTTGACTTACTGGGCTTACCTTTTCTACTCAAATTAAAAATTGACCTTGAAATGTTATTGACCTTTTCTATTGAAATTAACACATTTCTTTACTTCCTATTGTTAAATTACTTCTTTTCCTGCCACCAAAATAGCTTGTGAGCTATACTTTCACTGGTTCAGAAGTGAATTTCACCTGCTCTTGGCCTTAGCCTAGAGAAGTCTTGAAGCAGAAAATGTATATGTGGAGGGAAAATATTTATCTTGGAAGTTGTTTTATTAGAAACATGTATCAGCAGTTTCAAACTACTCCTAGGTTTGGAGTGCCCACAAGGAAATGAGCTTCGGTGAGGTAGTCAAAGGGGCATGATAAATGCAATTTATCACAGCAGTCTGCATTTTATCAAATATATATCACCACTATATCACCCCTGCATCTATGACATACGTGGTTACATTTTCATATCAAAAGAAAAAGATACTCTAGGTGGAGCATGGTCTGGGAGAGTGTTATCTGAACCTACTGCACAAACACAGAAGAGGTTATAAAATGAACCCTTCTGAATGTGAGAGGTACCTCTCTTAGATCCAAATTCTCTCTTTTTTCTTTTGGAGGACTCCAAACTGCAATGGAACACAAAGGGATCCAGATACTCTCAGTCATCCTCATTTTAGGACTCAGTGCACTGACTGAAGGAGAAGAAGCACCAGGTAAGTATATTTATTTGCTATTGCATTCAGAAGTCCTTACATGGAGGCCTGCTCCTGCTGGCTTCAATGGCAGCATGAACAAATCTCCTATTTCTGTACTGTAAAATATTAACATTTCATCTCAAAGCATTGTTCCATGGTCCTGATCTGGCTGCTATTGAATTCAGTAGCAAAATCCCACTGACTTCATTGCGAGCAAGTTTAACTCTCATATTGTTGGCAAAATAAGTAAGGCCATCCTTACCCATACACAGAGTATGCAGCTGTGTAGGGTACCTGAAAATTTGGGGCACCACTGGGTCTTAATGCCCACCTTAATGTCCTTCTTCCTATCTCTGTTCAGTGGCTCTGCTTCCTCTGGAGAGGATCTAGTTACCTTAAAAGAGAAAAAGCCTGTCACCTTGCCAGACCTATTAGCAGAAACTTGAACTATTCAAATAGTAATGAAGCCCTTTAATATTCATTTGCCAACCCCGGGTATAGATGGTCAGTTTCTGAATTTATTGTGTTACTTGACAGGACCTTGGTTTAACATTTGCTTTAAAATATTTCATTAGAGCAGCGTTTCCCAAACTATGGACTGCAGCCCGGTACCGGGCCACTAGAAAAACATACTGGGCCTCAGCGTGGCTGCCAGGAGAGAAGTGGGCAGGGCAGGCTGGGAGGAGGTGTGTGTGTGGGGGGGGAAACGGCTGGGGGGAAGCAGGGTTGGGGGCAGCAGGGCTGTCTGGTGGAGATTGGGGCAGGCAGGCGGCAGAAGCAGGGCTGGACAGGGGGGGGGGGGGGGGGGGTGGGCGGGGGAGGGCGGGCGGCAGAAGCAGGGCTGGACAGGGGAGATTGGGAGGAGGACTGGAGAACCAGCCTCCAGAAGCAGGGCTAGATGGGGGCAGCAGGGCTGGACATGGGAGATCGGGAGGAGAAGTGCGGGGGCCGGCGGGGGCAAATCGGCTGACAGGAAGCAGGACTGACCCCCGCCCTCACCCCCCCCCCCGAGTAGTTGCAAACTGCCTGACTGGTAGACACACTCATGCAGCATGAGCACATCTACCAGCCAGACAGTTCGCAGCTACAGACTGATACACCTAATAATAATAATAAAACTTACCTAATGAGAAAATACCGGATATTTTATATGTCTGGTATTTTCTCAATTTGTTTACTGGACAGAATCTTCAAATACGGGACTGTCCGGTACATTACTGGACACCTGGCAACCCTACCCCTCCTTGCACCCTCCCTCCTAGCCAGATACCCTACCCCCAATCTGCTCCTACTCCCGCATGCTGGAGTGCCCATGCGGCGCCGGGTCCCCCAAGCCCTGGCCCAAGCTAGGTGGAGGATGCAGTCGGGTGAAACACTGAACATTTATTAATTTTTAATTATTTTTTATATGCATTTATATTTTTGGGCTGCAAAAGACAGTACTGAAAAAAATGGGTTCCAACTAAAGTAAAAAGTTTGGGAAACCCCAGTCTAGCCAGCTTTCTGTCCATCTTACAGTACATTTATCCAATCCATATTCCCTTAACTTGCTGGCAAGAATATTGTGGGTGACTGTATCAAAAGCTTTGCTAAAGCTGGCACTGGGGACTTTGGGAGGACCAGAAACAACTTATTTGAATATTCATCATTTGCTTAATGAATATGCAAATGAATGTTACCCATCCTCTAAAAACTCATGAATGGATTTACTGGTCCCCATGTCAAAAAGTTTGGGAACCCCTGCATTAGAGTGTTGCTGAAGATTATAAAATCACACCTCTAAAAAAAATCATCAACCCTCCTCTCCCGCTTAGCTGCCATTGGGCATAAAGGCACCAGTTTAATAGTACTACATAGGGCCCCATAAATCCTAAGGACATTCTTGAAGATAAGCAGCAATATACATGAAGGAGTAGTAATAGACATCTGAATAGGTACTTGCTATTCGAAAACTGTTTATTTTAACTTAGCACACTGTTGTGCCATAATACTGCATAATCAGCCACAGAAATCCAATTAGACAACCAAAAAATGGGCAGCAGTTAACTAGATTTGATGCATTTAAGCCACTTCTATGGACCCAATCTATTACTGATGCCTTTACTGAAAGATTATAATGTTAGAATTCCAGCTATTAAAATTTGTATCTGATCCCTTATTTTGAAATACCCCAAGACAATAGTTATTAACGGTTCACAGTTATGCTGAAAAGGCATAACAAGTGGGGCTCCGCAAGGGTCTGTTTTGGGACTGGTTCTGTTCAATATCTTCATCAATGATTTAGATGATGGCATAGAGAGTACACTTATTAAATTTGTGGATGATACCAAACTGGGAGGGGTTGCAAGTGCTTTAGAGAATAAGGTCATAATTCAAAATGATCTGGACAAACTGTAGAAATGGTCTGAGGTAAACAGGATGAAGTTTAATAAGGACAAATGCAAAGTGCTCCACTTAGGAAGGAACAATCCGTTTCACTCATACAGAATGGGAAGTGACTGTCTAGGAAGGAGTACTGCAGAAAGGGATCTAGGGGTCATAGTGGACCACAAACTAAACATGAGTCAATAGTGTGACACTTACAAAAAACATACACTTGCAAACATGATTCTGGGATGCATTAACAGGAGTGTTATGAGCAAGACACAAGAAGTCATTCTTCAGCTCTACTCTGCGCTGGTTAGGCCTCAATTGGAGTATTGTGTCCAGTTCTGGGCACCACATTTCAAGAAAGATATGGAGAAATTGGAGAAGGTCCAGAGAAGAGCAACAAAAATGATTAAAGGTCTAGAAAACATGAGCTATGAGGGAAGGCTGAAAGAATTGGGCCTGTTTAGCTTAGAAAAGAGAAGACTGAGGGGGGACATGATAGCAGTTTTCAAGTGTCTAAAAGGGTGTTACAAGGAGGAGGGAGAAGAATTATCCTTGTGGCCTCTGATGATAGGACAAGAAGCAATGGGCTTACACTGCAGGGAGGTTCAGACTGGACATTAGGAAAAACTTCCTAACAGTCAGGGTGGTTAAACACTGGAATACATGCCTAGGGGGTTGTGGAATCTCCATCTGGAGATATTTAAGAGTAGATTGGATAGACATCTATCAGGGATGGTCTAGACGTTGCCTGGTATGGACATCGGTAAGGCCAGCTGGAGAAGGCAAACCCCAGCCCTGCCGCCTTCCAACCAAGGCCCTGCCTCTTCCACCCGAGACTTCCAAGTCATGTGGAGAGCTACGGCTGCTGTGCTGTCGCCCCAGTCTGGCTCTCTTTGGCGTCCAGGGAAAGCCAGGCTCCTGCGCACTGGCCCAATGCATCCCAGCGGCTGAAGAAAGCCAGACTGTTGCACAGCAGCTCTATTCCACACGAGTGGCCAAGTGAAACTGGGCTGATGCACCATGCTTCATTGTTCCCAGGCAGCCAAGCTGCTGAGCTGAGCTGCCTTCCTGGGGGGCTGGACGGAGCCAGGCTGCTGCACCGCAGCCCCACCTTTCCTGGCAGCGGCCCCAACCTTAGGCAGTCAGTCATGTAGGCAATTTTGGGAAGGCTCTGCCTTACCTTGTCTGCATTACTGACTGCCCATGGTGCTTGGTCCTACCGTGAGGGCAGGGGACTGGACTTGAAGATCTCTCAAGGTCCCTTCCAGTTCTAGTGTTCTGTGATTCTATGATTATGGTTTTACATCTGCACAACTATGCTAATTTCAGTTGAACCTTCCTCTCTCCTAATCCAAACTAGCCTAATCCTCTAGCCTAATCCGAACTAGCTAGTTCGTGCCGCGTGTAGCCGCGCGGCACGCAGTCCGAACTAGCCGGCATTTAAAAATGGCGCCGGCCGGCTTTATGCAAATGAAGCCCTGGAAATTCAAATCCCAGGCTTCATTTGCAACTCCGTATGACATTACCCCCCCTAGTTCGAACTAGGGGGTAGTGTAGACATACCCTGAGTCTATAAGGTGCCACAAAACTAGTTCTGGTTTCAGTGGGTTATGGTAAAATTATATTTGTATGACTATTTGAGCCCAATGAACGTGCCATTGATAAAAACACCAATATAAAAAGAGACATATGGTAATGCTGATTTTTGTTCTAAATAGCTCCATGCCGATGTAATGTGGATCCGAAAACCAGAACGAACTGTGGGCCTCCAGGAATCTCTCCTGAGGAGTGCAGGAATTCAGGATGCTGTTTCAGTTCAGAAGTTCCAGACGTCCCCTGGTGCTTCACACCTCTCCCAAAGAAATGTAATGTACCTGTCAGAAATGGGTCTGATTTTCCTAGTGCTTAACCATGCAAAAATGTGCCCAGGTGGGAAACTTACACAATAAGAAGGACAAACAAATGAGTGCGAATTTCTACTAGAACACTGCAAAGAGGAAAAAAGAGTGAAAAACGCTAGTATAGGCAACATTCAACCTTCCTTTCACGTCTTCTGTGTCTCAGTTTTTTCACATGAGATATACAAGTCATTTGCTTTCTCTCCTGGATAGAAGTAAGCAAGTAACCAAAAATGGTCCCACTACAGCCTTGTTGGCTAAAGTTAGAAATGTCTTGCTTAATTTAAATTTGTTTTCTAAGTGGCTATCCAGGGTTAGAGTGACTCTGCATTATCTGATCCAAGGTCAGGAAAAAACAAGGTTTCAGAGGACCTTTAAGTGTTGAGCTAAAAAGACTCCTGGACACCAGTCTCTCCCAATTCCTCGTATTCTCCATTTTCACTCACCCCCTCCCGCATTTTAACATCAGTTTTCTGTTCTCCTCCTCTCCCCCACAACTCACTCACTGCATCCCGCCCATTATGATTTCCAGGTAAAATGCCCCAACTGCAGAACCTCTGCTCCCAATTTAGCTTATTCCTTGAATAAACTCTCTGGGGGTATGTCTACATTACAAAGTTAGTTCGAACTAACTTTCAAAGGCACTACACTAGCGCTCCGTTAGTTAGAATTTAATTCGAATGAACGGAGCGCTTAGTTCGAACTAGGTAATCCTCATTCCACGAGGATTAAGCCTAGTTCGAACTAGCTAGTTCGAATTAAGGGGTGTGTAGCCCCTTAATTCGAACTAGTGGGAGGCTAGCCCTCCCCAGCTTTCCCTGGTGGCCACTCTGGCCAACACCAGGGAAACTCGTCTGCCCTCCTCCCAGCCCCGGACCCCTTAAAGGGGCACGGGCTGGCTATGGTGCCCATGCCAGGTGCAAGCCTGCCAGCACCCAGCCAGCAGACCCTGCACCTGGCACAGATGGAGCCACCCACCCGATGCCCCCCAGCCCTCCCCCTCTTCCCGGGACCAGGCTGGCGGCTCCTGGGAGCTT